CCCACCGCCAGGCTCCCACCACCTCACCCCTCCCCAGGATCAGGGTACTGGGCTCAGACTGAGAGAGGATGGCCTTGGGACTCAGTTTCTCTGCCCGTAACATAAGAGGAAGCTCGGGTGTTCTGCCCAGGTGCACCTGGGACGGAAGGCCACCCCAGACAGTCTTACCCACCCTGGAAACATCATAGGAACATGGACTCACCTTGTCCAGGTCATAGTAGAAGGCCTGCAGAGAAAAGGAGAGTGTCAGTCTCTCACCACAGGGACACCTGAGCTTCAAGGACAAAGCCAATGCCTGCAGCCTGGCCATAGACACCCAAGGAAAAAAACAAACTAAATGTGTGCATTATGGGTAAGCCAGTTCTAGGTCTGGCACTATGCCCATGTGTGTCCCAGGCAAGTTACTCAACCTCTCTGAACCTCCCTTTCTTCCTATGTAAAATAGACATCAGTCATTGTAATGGTCAATACCGACTGTCAACTTGACAGGCTGTATCTAGAATCGCCTTGAAGATGCTCGTGCCTGGGAGGGAGTTTCTAGATTTCATCAATTGGGGTGAGAAGATGGACCCTAAATGAGTGTGGTGGCATCCCAGAGGCCTGGAGTCCTGGGATACACAGCAAGGAAAAAGTCAGCTAAATACCAATGTCCAATTCACTCTGCTTCCTAGCTGCAGCCGCAGTGGGCTGCCTCATCCACTACATGTCTCGCCTTGAACTGAAGCTAGTCTTTTCTCTCTTGAGCTTGTCACAACAAGGAGAGACATCATACAACGGGCTGAGAGATCACAGAACTCAAGTTCAGCTAAGAAATGAAGCCTTGGGCTAGAGGGATGGCTCCAGGGTTAAGGTAACTGCGGCCAAGTCAGATGACCTGAGTTCGAAGTCTGGGACCCACTGTTGTCTTCTAACCTCCACAGGAGCACTGTGGCAGGTGTATACCTGCTTTGTCTCCTCTCCCTCACACTGAATGAAGGAATGAATGAATGAATGAATGAATGAATGAATGAATGAAACACATTAAAGAATGAAGAGCTAGGAAAGATCTGAGATTTTGAAGAGCTGTCTAATCCGGGCTTCTTGGAAACCCACAAAACCCTCTCTGTGGGGTTCAGGCACGCTGTCCTAGATGTGGGGTCCTAATCTTCCCCAGACACCAGTGTGATATAGCATCGGGCAGTGGAGACTTCTGAGACAGATCTCTTTATATGTTGTCTGCCTGAGAGAGACTTCTAGACCTTAAAGAGTAGGGCACGGTGTGGGAACCGCCACTCTCCCTTGGGGTTAGGTGGTACTAGGAGTGGGTGAGGTCTCTGAAGTACCTCTCCCCTCCCTCTGTTCTGGGCCTCACCCAGTCGCCTACTAAGGGAGGCTCCATGCTCGGCCAGCTCTGCCTTCCCATGTGGCTGACACCCACAGGAGACTGAGCCTTCCACCCCGCCCAACACCCTAGTCTTCCGAGTCAGTGGGCGCTGGGACCCAGAGAGGACTGGGAGCTACTTTGGTATTCAGTTCTCTGTTTTCTCTCTTTCTGAGTTTGAATCCAGCCCATCCTGAAGGCTGAGTCTGGAGGAGGGACACGGGGACATAGCTGGGAAGAAGTCCAGAGCATGTGACAAGACATACCACCTTTGCTCCTGGTGTGTGACCCAGGCAGGCTGGGTGACACCTTCCCCCAGGCAGCAGCTGGTGACTTAATCTGATTTGTAGAAATGAAGACAGTCTGAGGAGACACGTGTGTCTCTGACTATCTGACGGTTGAAGCAAGGGATACCAGAGAAATGGGACCTTCTCAAGAGTTCCATGCAGGGCTGAGGAAAGCTGCTGCAGCCTGATTCGAGGATGTGGTTTCTCAAAAGATTTCACATATGTCTCCAGGATGACTGAAGCCCAGACAGAGTGGTGGAATACATCTCCAGCCTGGGCTTCTTAGGCCTCGATTTAAACTCTGATCTCACTTCAGGACCATCAGACTTTGGGGTATCCCCTGGGTTCCCTTATTATTGTTAACACATTGGCTAAGTCCCCCTTTCTGCTTTCCTCTTTTAATTTGGCTCAGTAGGGGCAGGAGGCTGGACTGACCCAGGACACAGGGTCTGATCCCTAAGTTAAAGAAGAGTGAGAGGGACCAGAGTGACTAGATTCAGGGACAAGGGGTCCCCTGCTGGAGTGGCTGTCCCTAAGCAAACAAAGCACAGGGTGCCTACTGATGACCTAAGAGTCTTACAGGGTCACAGGCTTAGAGCTGTCATTATGTTGTTTGGGTTGGTTGTTGATACAGACAACTCAGAGTCTGTGAGCCCTATACCAGCCAAGGCTAAGTCTGGCCTCAGACCGCACCATGATGTCCATAGAAAACTGTCCCCTTGGACACCGTGACATACAGGCTCAGCTTGGGGCAGGGGCAGGGCCTGTGACAGAGAAATGGCCTCTTTCCTGAATAGCATGAACTGCCTGCTCCTGGTATGTCTGATGGGCAAATTTGGGGATCAGGACCATCAAGATATGTGTACCTCTGCAATCACCTGTCTGACAACTCCTCCCAGATCCACAGAGAGGAAAGTTGACCACAAACACCACGGGCCCCTGGGTGGAGACCACTGACTGTCCTTTGGCTTCTGTGAGTCTAAAGCCATCTTCATCCCAGCCACTCACCAGCCTGGAACCCCTCTGGGTGTCCGTGTGGCATCCACACAAGTAGTCCAGTTCGGCCTGCTGCTCACACAGGTGTTCCCTGCAGGGGAGGGGGAAGGGCAGATTTGAGCAGAATAAGGGGGTAGGCCAGCCCTCCCAGCATAAGGGGATTCCTCTGTTACCCCAGAACCCCACAAATCAGTCTAGCTGTTGCTAGCATGTGGTTAAGATGACTATATGGATCCTTAAAGGCAGGGGAGTCAGGGGGAGGCTGAGGAAGGCATGGTGGGTAGAAGACGGAGGCAGGGCCAGAGGCTGTGAGAACAGGCAGAAGAACAGGGAAGAGAGAAGATGAGACCATGGAGCCAGGGGGAGGGAAGAGGGAGGATCCAGGAGGAAAGAGGAGGGAGGACCCATAGAGGAAAAGTAGGGAGGACCCAGGGGGAGGGAGGACCCAGGGGGAGGAAGGAGGGAGAACC